TATGCTCGCCAACTTCTCTTTTGAAGTATTAACTTATTAAATATGATAATAATTTGTATTCTCTTCGGTTCAAACAAGAACTGTGTTCGTAGTTCGCTAATCCAAATAAGCACTTGCTGCCAATGTGCTCATTAGGTAAATACAATTATACACGTGACGTAATACAGCTGAAGTAGGAGACGAATATCAGGTGATACTTACTAGGTTCTCTTTATACATTGCAGGTGGGAAACCCTTGCTGCCTCCGTTGGTCTCCTAATCAAAAATGCCACGATTAAGTACATAATTTTTCGACATCCATGAAGGAATGTTATAAAGATAAGCATGCTGTTCGTAGTTTTTACCTGTAGCAGTTCCGAGGTCACACCCTATTCATTATTTATCGTCAGGACTGAATGTCCAAAACCATAGTGGAAAAAACAGTTTCGACACAGGTGAACATTATGCAATATATTGATTCATCATTGGAAGTAGGCAGTTAGCCCAAGTAAGCGGAGGTCAACACGCCGGTAGCCATACGTTTATCAAAAAATGAACACTACCTAAACAAACGCAGTAACAACCAATCATGGATTAATGTTCCCATAATATGCATCCAACTAGGCATTTGCTCTCCATTCTCTGCCCTATGCTATGAGCTGTCTTTTCATTCTGCCATCATTTGTCTTGTTAGGTAAGTGACTTTATCCTCTGGTGCAACGATCTGGACCATGAAGTGGCCTTGACTGAAGGGGCCGTGAAAGCCTCGTCCCACATCATCACTGGTGCGGTCAACCGACTAGTTTCTCCCGCCGCCCCAACCGCAGGCACTGGCTTGAGTATTGATCTTAACCAGGCTGAGCAGCAGTCCTCGACGTACGAGAGGCTAAACGATGAAATGCGGACGAAGTGGAGTCCTCTTTCAACAGCTTTGGTGCAGGAGGCGGAAGATATGATCAACCTTAACCATTATGCGGCAGCCGACGTAAGCCATCCCTTGATGTAATCTTTGAAAGTAGTCCACCCACGAGTTTGTGAATGAATGATAAAACCCAGATATCTCGTATCCCAGGGCATAATAAACTGATATTTTGCAGGTCCTCCGACCTTCTGCCAATTTAGGATAGTTTTAATGAACGCTTCATTCCAAGCACACATTTCCATCTGTTACTGTAGCTGAACGCTAAAGTGGAACAACTGCTGGTCGCACAAAAACGTGCGGAGGAAGGTCTCAAGAGCGCGAATTTGCGTATGCCCCAGCTGATCGACTTGCTTCACTTGCGACGGGAAATCGCGGCCCTCGTCAGCCAGTTGGCTGCTCAACCTGCTCGTTTGCAAGCTCTCGTCAAGGAATGCAGCTCCTCCAGCAACCTGCAAGGCGGCCAGTGCGATAAGCTGACGTCCAGCGCTGAAGTGAGATGCCTTTTGAAGTGAAGGATAATGCCAGCTGGCAGTTTTGAAACATTCCTAACACCTGCATCTTTTTTCGTCCCTGTTTTGCAGGTTGAAACGATGCGAAAACGTGTTGAGCTCATCGAGCGTGTTCTGCAGTCGACTACG